AAATGGCAAGATACGTTGTTACGGTTCACATATCAATAGTATCTGAGGCTTATTTATGTGCCATATTTTTATGAAGACTAATTAAACTAATTAGGACGAAGACACAATGTCTTTCCTGTAACAACAGTAATATCCACATTTTTCTTAAAAATACATTGATATGTAAAGATATTGTATTGTAAAATCTTTCTTATGTGTTATTTTGTTACTAACACTTAAAAAATCAGTTCTAAAATGGTGTCTTTATGAAATAAACCTGTTCTACACTGTGTCAGATGAAAAAGTGAAATCTGTGGGTACTTTGCAATACTCTTGACATCCTTTCAACTGTCTCCCCTCAAAAATCATTGCACTGAAGGTGATTTGAAGAGAGTGATTTCTGACAATGTCTTACTCGTTAGATCATAAAACATTTACTTTTTAGTCCTGTTATATGAAAGACAGTATCGTTATGCCAAAGACACCCTATGTTATTGGAAAGAAAGTATATCAAATAAATTTGAAAAACTATTGAATTGTAGCAAATATCTTTGATCTATATGTATTGAAAGGAAGAGTTTTTGCCTGTTACCCTCAGAAGTATAGTAAGTGTTACGTGTTATATGTATATCTCCATGGAGATATGGTGAGGAACAGTGGCATGTTTGTTACAGGGAACACAATTCAGTCGTATATTTGAGTTAGGATAAGAATACATCTATGGCAGTGGAGATAAGACAGGTTCACATTAATCAATTTATAAAAGTATTGTGTTTACCATACTAGAAGTGCAAAATATAAAGTCTATATTTTGGAACTTAGCCTATGTGTTACCCTAAAGACATGTCAGTGTTACTGGAAAGACATTTCAGATGAAGTTGATGGAAGACAAAGAAGAATTAAATTCTGATGTTCAATAAAAACTTTAGACATTGTGCTTTGAATAAACAACAATAAAAGTAGCAGTTACAATTTTGAAATTTGTTTTCTAGGAACTCAGAAACTCATTTCACAACAAGTATGACTGTAATTGTCATGAATTTATCAAGCTGTCAAACAGGTTCAAACAAAAGTATCAAAGTTTTGATCATCTCCTCAAACTTTCAAACAGGCTTGCAACCAACAAAAGTATCAAAGTTTTGATCATCTCCCTCAAGCTGTCAAAGTAACAAATCAATCACTAAAATTAATCTCCGCATTTGCACTACCCATCTTGACAATTCTGAAAAACATACTGAAATGAATGTTTCATTGAAATTTTGTTTCAGATTATGACACATTAATTTTATATAGGAAACTAGGATGTTAACACTTTCATGGTTTTGCAGACTGATCATTACGATGTCATATTTATTATAGTCACAGTCACACACTGTCTTTCAAATAACAGTCTTTAAAAATGCATAAAAGCATTCAAAGTTTCTAGAACAGACTTCTTTGTGAAGCATAACGTAATCTTATCTCATATATTTATTGCTCATCTGAATGAATCAGGAGAGAAAGACAAAAATGAAAAATAATTAGTATTAAACTGTCTTTGCACTAGCAACGTAAGTCTTTTAAGTAACAGCTATTTTTGAAAGACTATTGCATACAAATTTTTAGGGAAAATATAAATTGTTACTCAAAATATAATCTTAAAGGTCCTAATATGAGCACAAAGCAAATCTAGATGAACAAAGACCTACCAGAGATAAGGTTTATTTACAAATTTGTATTGAATTGTCTTTGCAGTTACAGAATTGGTCTTTCCAATAACGACCTTTGACAATAATTAGTATGATTGTATTCAGACAAGAAAGAGTAAAACATGTTTCAGCCTCAGCATATATAAACCTTAGATCATTACCACAAGTCAACTGTTAATGACATTGACATTAAAATAGAAGAATATGTGACTAATCATTATTGATGTTTCTTTGAAGTAACACTGAAGGTCTTTCCAATAACAAAATAGCTGTTACAGAAAAGACTGTTATATGAAAGACAAATTGTAAGAGTAAATTAAGAGAAAAATAATGACTAGTCCCTTTCCCATTTTAGACAACATTCTTGTGTTTAAATTATGGTTCCTAATGCAAAAAGAAAAACATACTTGTGGAAAATTTGGGTATTTTTTTATAATTGATGTTATCTAAAAGACACCTATAAAAAATACTCGCAAATGCTGACCTTTTCAACTTGATTTTCTTCGAAAATATTGTCTTGAACTCAACACCACATGTTCATCACTCTCAACCGGAAGTTGTTAATAAGCATAACATGTAGTTCCACTTTCACAGGATGAGGGATCATTAATTATTTCATAATTCTATGGAACTTTTACAGGAAAGACATTTTTCTTGTATACAAGAAAAAGAGGTTGTTTTTTATATCAAAATTCAGCTTGAAAATCATGAACATCTACCAGGAATGGGAAAAAGGTCTATTCTGTTCAACCACTCCAGAAACAATGTCTTCCTAAATAAAATTTAGTGCGCAGCAGACACATGATGTTTGTGTTTTACACATGGATACATGACAAAATGCATGCCCCTTGTTACAAAAAAGGAAAAAATATACATTATTTGATCTTTTTGTTTGTGATAAAAACTTCCCAAGTAAGATTAGATATTGGCAATGAAGGAGAAATCAGATTTGTAACACACTGATAAGATTTGACGGCTTTATTGAGGTTTTAATCCTGATACGGGAAAAAGCTGCATCTTTGAGAATGACTTCCGCGTTATGGTCCCAAATCAGCACCTCCTCTCTTTATTTTCCGAAGCCACTGCGACTTAGATTTAATGTAAACATTCTGTAACTTTAGTTGGTTAAACCTGGACGACCAAGGTGCCTGGACCTGGGTTACACACTACAACTGTCCGTGGTCACGTGGGCTCCATTCCCAGAAAGCCATGCTATGCTGGACTTTCCCTGTGAAGAATGTGGTCAGTAGATATAGGGGGTGTATCGGGGAAAGTATAACCTTCCGCATTCATGGTGAAGTGTAAGAATGAGTTGCGGGTGCTGTCCACACCCACTGATACCCCAGTTACCGTAGACAGGCAGTTGTAGTGTCAGCTGAGGTCGTGTGGAGGCCTTGATCATGTGCGTTCATATGGAACAAACATGCATGTCAGGAGTATGTAGATGGCGGGATGAGCGGCGGTTTTGTCAGAAATATGAAGTTTTATCAGCGGACAATCATCCGAGTTTACGTTAACTGGATACATCTCTACATGAAGGCAGTTAATGGTCGTGACATCGATCTTATAGGGAAATACAGGGGCGTAGGAACAGGAGGGGGGGGGGGCTTAGCCCCCCACTTTTTTTAAGACGAAACCATATCTACCTTACCATAACTACAATTTCATTTTGATTTTCAATACTTTTCATAAATTAGCCAACAGATGAATTTCTAACTCAACTGCATTTCCAAAACAAAACGTCAAAGCAACTCAAGTAACCTATCTACTAAACGTAAATTGTCTACTATGTTGAGCTAAATATCGATTTCAGTTTATTCTGGGTAATGAATTTTCTCAAATTTTGAGTGAAAACAAAACACTGAACCCTTACTAAAACATGAGTCAATGAAACTAACAACTGATTGTTAACTCTTGCCCATTCCACCAGGAAATATCATTCATTAACGCATCAACTGTGGCAAACAGTAACGTGATGTGATCACTTTTAGACTGGCTGTCATTGCAATGCCTTTCTTGAAAGCGTATTGACTTAAGTGTAAGTAAAGGGGAACTACGTTATGCATCTATGATCTGCTCGAAAAAAAGCCCAAGTTAAGTCCTCAGTTTAACTAAAAGTTGTGTTATATCACATTCTGGACTTTTAAATACAATCTGCAATTATTATTATTTCAGGCTACCCGTGAAGGTCCGGGTTAGAATTGATCTCCAGCAAACTCGCGACTAACGGGATCGGGTAGTCAGTCTCGCTGGCTTGGTTGACACACATCATCGGTTGCGCAGATCGATGGTTGTACGAAAATACAACCATCATTTTCGGTTCTACATTGTGTATTCATAGTTTCTGTTCTCTTTAGGGTAGGCTGGGGTATGCATGAGGCTAGGGTATGCATGAGATCGCACAGACAAGAACATTTGTGAAATGGTTTTGAATTTTAAGGGGTCCAGGGCTCTGGCATGAGTGGGTGACTCAGTTTAGTTTTTTACGCCGCTTGTAGCAATATTCCAGCAATATCACGGCGGGGACACCAGAAATGGGCTTCACATATTGTACCCATGTGGGGAATCGAACCCGGGTCTTCGGCGTAACGAGCGAACACTTTAACCACTAGGCTACCCCACCACCCCTTCTGGCATGAAAGTCAAACATCAAAGTCCCTATCTGGTAATAACACCTCTCCCTAAACCCACCCCTAACACACACACACTCACGCGCGCGCGCACGCACACACACACGCACGCACAGAGTTTGTGGGTAGCTGAAGCCTTATGTTTATGTACACAAAACAAATTATTATGCATTTATTATTCCTCACAGACAGCATACTAAGTTTTGTTAATCACCTAAGTTTAGTTATGATATGAGCTGTGAAATGAGGTAATTGTTTTCTATGATGACTATATACACACGTGTTTTGTTCACGGTTGTACAGATGTCTCTGTAGTCGCCGCATGAACACAGTATTGCTTGAAGACGTTTTGATGCATGCAGTCCAATTAATATTCGCCAGTCACCTTTGTCTCCGTGTACTATCAAAGTTGGGCAGTGGGGTAGCCTTGTGGTTAATGCATTCCCACGCCACGCCGAAGACCCGGTTCGATTCCCCACATGAGTACAATGTATGAAGCTTACTTTTGGTGCCCTCCGCTTTGACATTGCTGGAGTTATATATTAATATTGGTAAAGGCGCGTAAAACTATATTCACTCAGAGGATAGTTTCATTTCATTTGGCAAAGCTGCTTGAGAATCCACTTAGGGCTTCATGTCTGTTTGGATGGTGACCACACCAGTACATTCTCCCATTCACTTAACATGGAGAGCGGTACGGTAGCCGAGGACTCGGGTTCGATACCTCACATGGGCACATTGTGTAAAGCCTATTTTTGGTGTCCCCTGTCGTGATATTGCTGGAATATTGCAATAAGCGGCGTAAAACGTAAACTCTCCTTCGATTTTCTTGAACGTGAAGACGAATCATGAAACACAATTCATCATTATTCACTAAGGATCATACGTTTCGGCGTTATGGTCCGAAAATAACATAACACTCACTTAGTATGGTAACAGAAATACACACCAGGTGAACTAGCTGTATAGTATGACCAGAAATTATTGAGAATTTTAGGAATTTGTTTAATTGGATTTCTAGTATAAACAACCTTGACCAGCTATCAAGTGCTTGGTTTCATTCATGAGAGACAACTCCGTTAATCCTTTTTCATTAGTTTGTGAAGAGTTATCCCCCTTTCTTTACTTGCTAGCAGACGACATTTTCAGTGATCTTCATTATGGATGATTTAGAGAAGAAGTTGATTTTAGAGTATTATAACAAGGCCATCAGATCAGCTAAAGTGATTTCAAGTAGAACAGGCATCCCTTTGTCCACTGTTTATCGTGTTTTGAAAAATATTGCAAATGGATATGGCATTGAGCACCAGGGAGGCGCAGGTAGTTCCAGAAAATTGACTGTCGGTGACAGGAGGCGGCTTGGTTATCTTGTTTCTAAAAACAAACGAAGGTGTTTAGAAAACTTAAAGCTGGATATGATTGATAGAGGAACTGTGGCTGTCTGTAAGGAGACAATTAGAACTGAGCTGCATGCAATGGGTTGGCAGAAAAGTCGAGGAATTCCATCACCAATCATGATACCTGAACAAAAGGAGCGAAGGTTGAACTGGTGCTTACAGCATAGAAATTTTAACTGGGACAATGTGATTTTCTCAGATGAAAGTTCTGTGTGGCTGTTTCCTAATACACTGAAATTCTGAACCAAACAAGCTAAAAACCTTTGTATCAGCGCCCAAAGTACAGTCCGAAATTTAACGTGTGTGGTGGCATATAGATCTGTGTTAGGGGCAACGCCCCTCTGTGTATTTGAAGGGAATATGAAGAGTGAGCGGTACACAGATATTCTCAATGGACATTTACTTCCATCTGCTCACGTGTTCTATGGAAAGCTTTGGATTTTCCAGCAGGACAACGACCCAAAGCATCGCTCAAAGCATTCACAGGCCTGGTTTCGGACCCAAAATATGACATTATTAGATTGGCCAAGCTATAACCCTGACCTAAATCCAATTGAAAGTGTTTGGGGACTTATGCAGAAAAGTGTCAATAAGAAAAATCTGACAAATATTGCTGAAATGAAAGAAGAGGTGGTCCGATATTGGGACAGCATGGACCACGACTTTCTAACGTCTTTGATCAATAGTATGCCCCGCCGCATTGAAGCCTGCATTGCTGCCCATGGTGACTTGACAAAATACTAACTGTTCACCTGTCTTTGAATCTTGAGTTATGTTCTGCTAATATTCACATTTAATACGTGAGTAATGAGTCAGAAAAAAAATATTACATTCTTTAAATTCTCAATAATGTCTGGTTGTACTGTATATGTGTACTCATCAACCGACAGTGACGTCACTCTATTGTTCTTAGGGGACACTTTTTCTCTTAATATCCTCAAATCTGATACAATCTCGTTTCCTCGGGCAATTATCTAAATAATGTCCCTCTGTCCCGGGCAATTATCTTAATAACGTCCCTGTGCCCCGGGCATTATCTTAATAACGTCCCTCTGCCTGGGGATTTTCTGAGGAATTGCCCTTGAGTTTGAATTATTACTTGTTTTGAAGATTGATACGACTTTGTCTTGCCATCACTAAACGCGATCTTAAAATATGACATTATTGACAATTTCCAACATGTAGTGCAGACACCCGGTTTCGAACCCTCAACCCTTCGCTTACTAGCTTGGCGGTTTTAATCCACTAGGCTACGAAGGATCAACGGCCCTTGGGCATTTCCCGCGGGAAGCGGGCTTACTTTTCAATAATGCCCACGGGTCATGTTATATCCTACACATATTTCACAGCAGTAACTGTTGACCACTAGTTCTAGTCCCGATTGTCATGGACCTGTGAATGTCCAGGTTAGAATATTGCTCTTCAGTAACCCATGCTTGTCGTAAGAGGCGACTAACAGGATCGGGTGGTCAGGCTCGCAGACTTGGTTGACACATGTCATCGTATCCCAATTGCGCAGATCGATGCTCATGTTGTTGATCACTGGATTTTCTGGTCCAGACTCGATTATTTTCAGACCGCCGCCATATGGCTGGAATATTGCTGAGTGCGGCGTAAAACTAAACTCACTCACTCCAGACCCGGCGCTTATTAGAGGCCCCCTCTCCTGTGCGCTTATTGGGTGTCATTACCGTAATTGTTATAGTTAACTGCTTTACTCCCGGCGCTTATTATAGGGGCTCGGTGCTTATTATAGGAAATACGGTATTCAGACAAAGCGTTAGTCTAGGTTTTATGCTGCTAGGAATATTGCAGCATACGGTAAACTCTGGAAACATGCTTCGCATGTAGATCATTGTGCACGGGCAACCTACCCAACCGCCCCTATGCACCTTCGTGAAGAATTTGTATTGAAAAGCCCATGCTTGTCGTAAGAGGCGGTTGTAACAAGATCGGGTGGTAAGTCTCGCTGGGACTCTTGGTTGGTACTTGCCATCGTATCCTACAAACTCTGTATTCTCTAGAAACCGCCAAAGGCGGTATACATGAGATAAGCGTATATACATTTACATAATATACAAGATAGCAGCTTATAAATAACAACAATATTTCATTTTTTAAATGCATGCATTAAATATGGGATTCAGTAATTTAGAAAGGCCTTTAAGGTCGCTTATGCTGGTAGTAGACAAGAGTTTCTTTGAGATAAACAAATTTAAGTATTCTAAGTATTTAGCTTCAGAGATTGATATCGCAGGTGGAGAAAAGCTTCACATCTAAAGAAGTAGTGAAACTCGTCTCCAACAGCGTTTGAAACACAAAGTGGACATTGTCGGTCTTCACGTGGAATGATCAACCATCGGCCTGTCTCAATTGGTAATTTATGGTTAGATGTTCTGAACTTTAAACTTGGGTAATATATATATATATGCTTTTTGGAAGAAGAAGATATTTTTCTGAGATTGGTTGCGTTTTGAAATGTTTATAATAATCACCCTTGAAACTTGAATCAACATTAGACTTCCAATTTTGGAAAAACGGGGATCTGTAGGTGTTTTCGAACACTGAGACAAGCCAGGGCTTCGAGCATATATACAGACGGATTTAGAAACACGTATAATAGTCCGCAAACATCAAGGATATGTTTCACAAAACGTAACCATGGGATTTTATATGTATTGTCACAGATGTGGTTAACACAGTCATATATAATCTGGGATGGTTTCCAATATGTGTTCTCAGAGGATAATTTATGCTAATGTCAAATAAATCGCTTATAGATTTTGATACCCAAGGCTCTCTTCCAAAATCACCGTAAAGCATATAATTTGGGGTGCTTTTTCTCAAACCGGAAGCTAATTTCAGAAACTTTAAGTGAATTGTTTCTATTATATCCAAGTTCTCGTGTCCCCATATCTCTGAGCCATACAAGAGAATTGGAACAACCATAACATCAAATGCATCTAAAAGGCAATGTAAAGGTAAATTAACGTTCCTGGATTTCTTAAATACAATAGGTAGCGCTTTCTGTAAGTGCTTTAATTGCTTGGACAAATCGCCCATTCCTGTGGAATTTAATTCCCAGGCAGCATCCGTTACGTATAGATCGATGCGCATGGTGGTCATGATTATTATTATATATGGGTATATACTGCTATAGTCCATCCCATCTACATGCATGCTCAAAGGCTGTTTTTTCCCTCGATCACTGGATGTCAACCTCAACGGCACATCGTATTTTCAATTAATAGGCGCACAAAGTTAATGTTTCTTTCCCATCCTTACGAGGTGCTCATTCACAGCTGGGTGGTGGTGGGGAATTGGGTTTAACGTCGTGCTTGAGAATATTTCGCTCATGTGACGACGTGCATGCGTCTCGATGTGTATGTGCGGCTGCTTGTACTAGCCCAGACTGAAGCTGGTTTTATAGTGCTAGCCCACTGAGATACCATGCCGCAGTGAAGCATGAATACCCCACTCAGACACATTATACTCCGACTCCGAGCCGACCAGTCCTTGTTGTACCCATTAATCCCGAGCGCCAGGCAGGGACCAACAAGTACCATATGTTAACGTCTTTTGGTATGACGCGGTCGGGGATCGAACCCGCGACTTTCCGCACTCCGGGCGGACGCTCTAACCACTACACCACGGAGGCGGTCCACAGCTGGGTGGACTGGGACAAATAGTCATAGTACTTTGTCCATGTTTTACTGCACGTTGCTGTACCCGCAGCTCGGTGTTTGTACGTATTCATGTGGCCATGACGTCAGTCATTAGATTGTCTGGTCCAAACTTTTGTTTGTTGTGTAACGCCGCACTCAACAATAACTATATGACGGCATGTCTAGACCAGACATCCCAGTGATTAACATCATGAGCATCGATCTACGCTACTGGGATGTCTACTTAGATCTTGCTCGTTGGTAATTCCCATTTACACAATTTAAGGAAGTTACGATTCTTTCCTTGACGACCCCTTAAAATCAGGGGTTAGAATTGGTCTTCAGTAACCGATTGGGTGGTCAGGCTCGCTGACGTGCTTGACACGTGGTGGGGTAGCCTAGTGGTAAAAGCGTCCGCTCGTCACGCCGAAGACCAGGGTTTGCTTCCCCACATCCATGGGTACAATGTGTGAAGCCCATTTCTGGTGTTCCCCGTCGTGATATTGCTGGAATACTGCTTAAAAACGGCGTAAAACCAAACTCACTCACTCCCCATGCTGGGTTTTCAGGTCCAGATTGATTTGAATATTTCTGATTTGTTTTCACTGAATTCGAATTTTACTGTTTGATATTTATTTTTAAATTCCGATCAGTTGTCAGGGTGAATTCCATATCATGTCTTCAAAATATGTGACAGCATAACTATTTTTGAATTAGCAGAAAGTAAATACGAACGAATTTTCTTGAATCGACGAAGTCATTCTATATCAACTAGGCTCCGTCTCCACACTGTTTCGCGGCGCAAACGAAGCCGCGCACCAGCTTAGGATTTCCCATGGCTGCAAATACAAACTTCCTGGTCTTGGCTTCCTGTGTAGCAAACTCATGCGCGAAGGTTCGAGAAACATCGAACAAAAACGTGCAGATATTAGTCTAATCACAACGTAATACCCACAGTGTCCAGAAGTGTGTTAAAGGAGTAAGATCAAACCAACAGTAAACAACTAGATTGTTACTGAATCTCAGTACAGAAAGGCGTTTAGAAGAGATCCTACTTTGTGGCGAGAATCAGTTGTGACGAGTTGAGATCGAATCTGATTTTACTCCGGTAAGAGGGCTAACTGTTTTACTTCCATGTACTTTGGTGTTGATGAATATTTTAGTGTTCTACTAATATTTGTAAATTTACGTAAGATGTGATGAAAGATACGAAACAACGTCTAGCATATTACGCCATAGCAGAGGGCTGCCAGCTGGTCGTGAAGCCATTCACTGCATTGTCTATTCTAAATATCAATGCGGCTGGTAAGCGGGATGAAATTAAATCAAAACTGATAAAGAGCTTATTCAGACCTATTTATATTGTAAACATACTCCAGTTACTTTCAGTTTCGAACATATATTTATGTATCAAGCATATAAAATTACGGGAAAGTTACTTTCGTTTTAAAACCTTTCTTTTGCAGATAAAAATACGGATATTACATATATATACATTGGTAGCATATTTTCAGGGTGTGTTATGTGGAGGGGCTGTTGTATGACACAGGTCAGCATTTCTTCACATTTTGTTATTTTTTCAGATATACCATGATAATGAGCCAATATTGTTATCAAAGTAATAATCTGGATCTTCCCCTGGTACAGCCTTGTGTTGTATCTAAAAATAGCCTATTATATAGATGTATACAAAGGACCAGAAGGCATATTGTCAATGCTGGTCTGCCTACAAGAGTACATGTCTGGAAATACTCAAATGGACTTTGTAAACATTTGCTGTGGATTGCTAAGTCATACACAGTTATAGCCAATAATACCTACGGTGAAACCTGTCTGGACCTTTTATTATGGACTCCCATATTAATACCTCCTGTTTCGAGTATTACTTCTTACTTGGCTTACATGTACATATAGAGACACTTTGCCCTTGATTTATGAATTTGGTGGAAAATTACTGCGTCTAAAATTGAATTTAATTGAGTCCCAAATGTTTATTTTTTGTTTGTGTCCAGTTTTTCCACTCAGTCACAAAGTAGCATGTGAAACCAGAAAAAAATAGAAACAAGGTCTACATCTTCTCAGCTAAGGAAACCAAACCTTTCTGTATATATTTCATTTTGTGTGCCTACAAATATACAAGAAATATTGTTTAACAACAACAGTATAACCAAATATTGACTTCTGGGCTTGCTTTGTTTTTAGCTGTATTTGATGGAAAGTATTGATTGAATTCAGGCTTCGATTTTTGTAAATAAGATATGTACACTGCTGCTTGGTGGTCATATTGATGTGACACACTTTCGACGGCATGTGAACAGATGTTCAGCTGTAGTCACCTGCAACCACAGTTTATGCAGAATTACTTAAAAAATATGCTTCATTTATATACGACCATAACAACCAGATCAAAGGGTGTAAATAACCCTACCCAAGGTTAATGATAAAATGCAAGTTCATACTCAAAGGCTATCTGGAGCACTAATGTGCTGGCACAGATCTTGTTCAACCCGTTTTGAGCTTGAGGAGGACTTGTAAGGCCACTACAGTTGCGAGTTAGGAAACAGACAGACAGATGTTTTATTTAAGTCTCACCTCATATAAAAGTACAGATATATAGACATAATATACATAAAATGAGCCACCCTTTAAGGGTTATGAGAGACTATTACTTAGAAGTGACATATATGATAAAAGTAACAATATAAAATTAGCCATATAAAAGATGTTTTCTTTTTTGAAGTATATAAAAGCAGGTCTTTGGCTGTAAAATAAACATGTTTTTTAAATAGTAAAATAGTTTTTCATTATCACATAGATCTAGGAAGTTGGGATAGGTGAAACACATATGGCCATATTATTATAGTATATTTATATACCGCACATATCCACGTAACTGGTGCATGCTCAAGGCACTGGTATTTTTTCCCTCGATCATTGGATGTCAATCTCAACGGCACATCGTATTATCAATCTCAACTCCCTGGGGAGTATACAACTCTTGCTGCCACTAGGTGCACCGAGTTATTGTGGCTTTCTCATCCTAACGAGGTACCCATTCACAGTTGGGTGGACTGGGACACATAGTCACAGTACTTTGTCCAAGTTTACTGCATATTGCTGTACCCGCAACTAGGTGTTTGCACGTATTCATGTGGCCACCATCTCGTCACTTACCAACGGGTTTCATGGGTTCTTTTAAGTGCACAGGGTTATGTACTGTACACTACGGGTTGTGACAACACTGAAAGAGTCTGCACACAAAGTTGACTTCAAGGTTTTTACACCCGGTCACAGGTGGGCTCGATCCCGGCACCTCAACCTTGCTTGATCACTAGCCTGGCGCCTTAGCCAGCCAAACGCACTATAATTCAAAAAGCTCACTGTTGAACATTGCTATGAGTGACATGTCACACAGTTTACAGATACAATTCTAACCATGACATTAATATCTTTGTTTGAATTTTTCGCAAAAAAGGATAAACAGTAGTTACCTTTGTGTGTTTCTGAATCATTTACATCATATATTATACAAAGGTATGTCCTCCAGGTGATGTTTTCCCATAAGCATGATGAGATATTTATCCCAATGTTTACACAGTTAATACTGTCTGTCTGTAATCCAGTGAAGCAATTTAAAAGCATCTGTTCTGCTTTATAAAGAAGTTATTAGCCCTAATCCTTGAGCCTCCACACTAGTCAGCTTAAAGTTTACAGACTAAGCCCTACAAATTGACAACTATTGTGTTACTAATAGTATTTAATTAACTAACTGGTTCGTTAATCTGATAAACAGGCAGTAACTATGTTGCCATGGAAACATGTGTCCACAGCCTAGCATGTTATGTATAATAAGAATTAACGTAGGTTGTTGGAGAGTGTTAGAAAGATCTTGGAGAGTGTTGGACTGAATTGATTCAGTGTTGTCTCTCATTACTGGTGGCTGTGAGGACCAAGGTGTCTGGAGTAGAGACTGGTAATAGGCTATCTTTGTTTATGTTGATACATCAGGCCAAATAAGAAAAATGTTGTGGTTCCGATTACAGCTCTTTAAAATTTAGGGAAGGTAATTCAGATTTTTTTTTACATTTTACATTTTTTTTAGAAGTAAAGTACAAACTAATAACACGTAAAAATTTTATCAATGTGTAATTGTTTATTTAATCAAGCTTGTGGCCATCATGTCGACTTTCTCTGTCAGAATGACCGATGTCTGTCTGCGCCGTGAAGAAACAATGGCATCTTAAACCAATTCCCATTGGCAGCAAACTGCACTTTTTGTTGCTAGTATGTTCATGAAAAGCCATGTGTGTAATAAGCTATCTTTGTTTTTGTTAAAATATCATTAGCCCAGCTAGAAGATCAACTCCTGAAAGTCAGCCATTATCTTGCATTCAAACCAATTTCCATTGGCAGGCAAATTGCAGTTTTGTTGCTTGTATGTACATAAATACGATTTGTGGTCAAGATTTCAGTTTTAAATTCAGAGAGATGATTTGTTATGCATTCAGTGAAATTAATTGTTGCTTGTTCCGTTTTGTTTGCTGGGCCTGTTACAGTGGAATACAGGTCACATTAGGAAAAGCCATAATATCAGCTTTAGCTAGCATAATATGAATTGGTAAATTCTGGAACTTGGAGATATTATTACGATGTTCGTTGCTGACTTGTGGCAGGGTTTTACACAGACTTTGAAAAAAGAGTCATGGTGACTCACGGTATTTATTTTGGGGAGTCATTTTCAATGTTTGGGAGTCATGAAAGTTTTTAGTGTAACATGTATTTGTGTATATCAAAAAGCAAGAGTTTTGCAGAGATTTTGTTGTTTTGTGTTGTATTGCTATTTGATTGTTACCGGAAGTTAATAAATAGTTTATTTTCACAGTTCAAATCAGTCATAACAAAATCCAGTAAACTGAACAAATAATCATGCTTGTGATTTTTTCACTGTAGCATACAGTTATTAACATGAATTGAAAGAAATATCTAAATTAATGAAGACCTCATGAAAACTATCATTATTTGCTTATCAAATCAATTTTATTGAACTGAATTCTGGGGGTCACTCATAAACCTTGTGTCAAGCTTGACTTGTATGATAATATTTTGAGTCTTTTACAAAATTGTTGCGTCAAATTTGCAGGAATCACGTGTCATGTAAAACCCTGCTTGTGGTAGTGTTGCTGTGGTAGTGCAGGGGTGGAAATAACCCATTGCCCGACGCCCGAGTCCAGTGTTTTTTTCTGTCGGGCAAGCAAATTTGTATATCACACTGTACCGGTGTCCAGTTGATATTCCAATGTTAATTATGTTGTTTATTTAAAAAATCGACAAGAAAATGGCCAGTATAGTTGAAAAATGATCAGGGCAAGTGATTTTACATGTGCCACTGTAACGGAGTACACTCTCAATTTTAAAGTTATTTCCACCCCTGTAGTGTTCCTTTGAGCCTATCCAGATAAATCTTTGTTAGAGCTGCGATGAATCCACTGTGAGGTGAACATGATACATCACGAATATAAATATGATTACAAATTACAACAGCTGATGCAGGGTTTTACCAGATGCGCAAATGTGATTATATTACGCACATATGTAGAGAATAGAAACAAATTTCTAAGCTCTAAGGATGCTTTGTACAACAGCACCCTGGTCACATGTTATGGGGTGACGATGAGATCGCTAGAGGGAGGAGACATGAATTATTTTACATCTTTATGGGGGATTCCGTTTGGGGGCTTGTTACATTAAAATGGGTCAAGAAAACATGATTTTCCTAAGACCGTCACCATATCATAAATGACCTTTCCCAAATTGGAGAGATAAACTCAAACTCGATTCATGCTGTTTCCCAAGTATCTTCATGAAGTGAAATTACACCTAAAACATTGATTATGTATAAGAATTAGATTTATGAAAATGGAATATCACTGCGAGAGGGACGCACAATATTATTGAGTGTAGCCACACCACATCTATGACTTTGCTAAATGTTTGGTTGTATCTTTCAGAGCAGTTACGTGCATCATTTCACCCATCAGTCCACATGATCAATGATTCATTCCTGGCTTTAAAGAACTTATCGTACAAAACATACAGTTCTGTACACCATTACTTCACCCGGACCCTCATATTGCCTGCAAAACTAATAATTAGGGGTCCCTGTGACCCCTATGTTTGTGGACTGCCTCCGTAGTGTAGTGGTTAGAGCGTCCACCCAGAGAGTGGAAGGTCGCGGGTTCGATCCCCGACCGCGTCATACCAAAAAGATGTTAAAATATGGTACTTGTTGGTCCCTGGCGCTTGGCATTAAAGGGTACGACAAGGAGTTGGCTCGGAGTCAGTATAATGTGTCTGAGTGGGGTATTCATGCTCACTGCGGCATGGTATCTCAGTGGGCTAGCACTATAAAACCAGCTTCAGTCTGGGCTAGTACAAGCAGCCGTACATACACACGCATGCACGTCGTCATATGAGTGAAATATTCTCAAATACGACGTTAAACCCAATTTCACCTCACCTCACTCCATGTTTGTGAGTCACGGTAAAACCGTGTGAAGTGTTATTCAATATATTCAGTTAACCATTAACAAAATATCACAACAATGACTAGTGACCACGTTACTGTCGAGTTCAGTTAATAAGCGCTGGCCTTTATCCTGCCTTGACATTTATTGAATTTGGGCATTATTTATAAAACTGCCTATACATAATGGTATATCCGCTAGTCTGCCAGGACAATACATCAACAGCTGGCCTGTTATTGTATATGTTACCCAATATTCATACTCATTACCCGATATTTGTGATATGTATCATTTTTGCCTGGTTACTAGTGGATTTGCTGCGAAGCTAGTGTGCACAGTATACTGCTATTTTAACTTATATGATCCTTCACATTGTTGAACTGGACCTGTGCTTAAAAAAATAAATTCCCATTAAAACAGTCCCAAGGTTTTGTGATTCTTAGTTAGAATAGGTACCTAGGAACTTGTTCTGTATACAAATGCATTTTTATTTGGTATCCAATGGAAGACATACAATAGTGTTGCAGTGAGTGAGTATGGTTTTACGCCACTTTTAGCAATATTCCAGCAATATAGCGGCGGGGGACACCAGAAATGGGCTTCACACATTGTACCCATGTGAGGAAACGAGCCAGGGTCTTCGGTGTAGGGGGCAGTGGGGTAGGCAAGTGGATATTGTTTTCGCTCGTCTCGCCGAAGACCCGGGTTCGATTCCCCACTTGGGTACAATACGTGAACCCAATTTCTGGTGTCCCCTTCTGTGATATTGCTGGAATATTGCTAAAAGCAGCGTAAAACCAAACTCACTCACTTACTCTTATGCTTTAACCACTGGGCAACCCCACTGGACAGGAGTGTGGCTGGGACAGACTTAGGGACTTTCGTTTGATTTAGTGGCATCAAATAAAATGTTCCTCATGATATCGATCACTAATTGCATCAGTTTGATTTGATTATTCACAGGCTTTGATTATTTATATACCAAGAACATTGTTGGGTGTGGCACAAAATTATTTTTTGTTCACATCAAAATTAAAACAGAATTTCAGTGTGCGAAATTTACGCAGGTCCTGTGGTCCCTGGTTAGTAAAAATTCATCAAGACCACCAAGTGATAAGTTTGCAGTGGTCCTGGTAGCCAGTGAATTTTGTATTGATAGTTAAGTAAATCTACAAATGTTATTTTGGCCCAGGGAAGTAAGGCAGGACCACTAATTATTGTCCACTCACTGGTCCTGTGAGATATTTTGAAAGGTTTCTTTCCCTGGAATTGATGTACAGATTGTGTTGTTCAATGTATGTTTTATTTTGTAGGAGTGTGACATATTGCTGTGACAACCCACACAAGTAATCATGGTGAAGGAGACAGCTTTCTATGAACTCCTGGGGGTCAACCCGTCGTCCACACCAGAAGAGATCAAGAAGGCATACAGGAAGCTGGCTCTCAAATTCCATCCTGATAAAAACCCCAACGAGGGAGAGAAGGTGGGTTTCATAATAATTATTACTTGAAAATCATTAGAACTGACTAGTGAGTGAGTGAGAGTTTAGTTTTGTGCCGCTTTTAGCAATATTCCAGCAATATCACAGCAGGGGACACCAGAAATGGGCTTCACACATTGTACCCATGTGGGGAATCGAACCCGGTTCTTCAGCGTGACGAGCGAGAGCTTTAACCACTAGGCCACTGATTAGCATATGAATTGATAGATGTATGTATGTAGACAGCTCTTGTAAACAGGGATCAGCTGTGTCTCTGTGTTGCTATGGTTTCATGGGTACTACATCACGGAAATGTGTTTATGTGCACCGAAACCTTTGATGTTTTAACACACTGTGTCGCAACTGGAAATTGGCTGGTGCAATTAGGTTTGTTTTAGGTTGCACCTGGGGCAAGTAGGTTCACATCTCTTAAATCGAGCCCTGCTGTATCATGTGTGTATGTACCTTCAGATGGATATATTCACAATAAACATCAGGGCTGACCCATTTTCAAATTCGCTGGCCTTGACAGTTTGTCATAGAGAGCTTTTGCTCTGTAATGTTTATATTGTATGTTATGGAATATACACCTTCAGTGAAAAATTGTCTTTTTATATTTCGGGGCAATAAGCATTTGTAAAAGGTGCTGTCCGACCCAATGTAGAGACCTTACGCCATTAGGACTGCAATGAATCCACTATGAGATTGAAAACGATACAAGAAACTGTATCGAAACGTCGTGCTCTAGAATGAAAGAAGTTGTCATCAACTAAGAATTCTTACTTGAAGGGGCGGTGGGGTAGCCTAGTGGTTAAAGCGTTGGCTCGTCACGCCGAAGACCTGGGTTCGAATCCCCACATGGGTACAATGTGTGAAGCCCATTTCTGGTGTTCCCTGCTGTGATGTTGCTGGAATATTGCTAAAAGCGCGTAAAACCAAACTCAGTCAGTCAGTCAGTCAGTCAGTCTTACTTGAAAACGATACAAGAACCTGTATTGAAATGTCGTGTCTAGAATAAAAGAAGTTGTCATCCATATATACTTGTTCTATCTGACTTCCAACTTCTAACATGCCACCTAAAGAAGTCGCTATAATCATTGTATTGTATGTTATGGAATATAGACCATCAGTGAAATGTTCCCTTTTTACAGTTCAAGGCAATAAGCATGGCGTACGAGGTGTTATCCGACCCAAAGAAGAGGCAGATTTACGACCAGGGAGGGGAGGACGCCATCAAGGGAGGGGGGACAGGTGGGGAGGGATTCCATTCTCCCATGGACATTTTTGACATGTTCTTCCACGGAGGGTCACGGAGACATAGGCAGCCTTCAAAGGGCAAGGACATAGTGCACAAGGTCAAGGTTACACTTGAGGAACTGTACAATGGTGCCACACGGAAACTGGCTTTGCAGAAAAACATCATTTGTGGGAACTGTAATGGTATGTTGTTGTATTTTTCATGTTAGTATCCTGATTTATTGAGACTCATGATGTGAATCCCTGGGTTGTCTGGTCCAGACTTGATTATTTACAGGACATAGTTATATAGCTCGAATGATACTACAGGGGTTCAAATTTGTTTTAAAAAGCTACTTGCCACAGGGAAAGTGACTTTAAGAAAGTAACTTGTCCTGACTAATTTTCCACTAGCCCTGATTTTATGACATAGTCATGATGATGTAATTATGAAAGAAAAAATCAGCATGGTATTTGATGTTAATGTTTACTGGACTATTTATCGAGAAGTGATAAATAGCAAGGAACGATAACTCTACTTTATTGTCATTGCGAAATTTAATAGCTACATTTTGAGCAGATATGAAATTAAATCCAAGTATATTTGCTGTTTGAAACCATAACTGGAACTTATCTAGTAGTCCACGGACAAGTAAGATACCATTATTTGATTGCCCGAAATGAAAACTGACTTGTCCCGGGCATCGGGCGATGGGATTTTTTAACCCTGGTACTAGTTGCCTATTCCATGTCCGGATTCTGATATGATGTTTTTCCATAACGTCTGGACTCTTGTTGTAAGATCCGACTAACAGAATGTGGTGGCCAGGCTCGCTGATTTTGCTTGACACACGTCTAGTCATGGTATCCCATGGTGTCTGGTCCAGACTCGGATATTATTTGCAGACTGCTGCCATATAGCTGAAATATTGCTGAGTCCGGCGCCAAACAACAAACAGTCCATAACTTCCGCAATTGTTGATGTAAACATGCTCATTATTAATGTGCTTTATCAAAATTTGTGAAAAATGCATTTGAAGATGAAACTGAAAGGCATAATACAGGAAGCTTGCTTCAAAACCGAAACTGGCAATTATGATGACTATTATACCAGATGAACATGCACTCTTTGATCAGGGATGTATTTGATTCAGACTTTGCCTTTTCTTGGTCAAGTACATAGAGATTATTACACGAGCAAGTGTGTCATACGACTTATACGAAACGAGTGTAAAATTTTGTATTGCCCGAGCGAGTGCAAGGGCAATGCACAGTTTTGCACGAGTTTCGTATAAGTCGTGTGGTACACTTGCAGAGGAATCATGTCTTTATTATCCATTTTATTCATGAACATTTGTGCAGTTTAACACAGTAAGCAAGTGTGACTGCCCTGTTTATTGACGTCACGCTCAATTGTTGACACTGGTTATGTTTCCCCATATGGATTATAAAGCAGGTTAGATGGGTCACACATTAGTGTGTTATTGAAACAACAGGAAGTAGGAAGATGCCAGTGAAGCTAAGAATTAGAATTCTGTTGCTCATAAAGGCAGCTTTGATCCAATGTTAGGTCCCGTGACAGGTTTGATTGCTATTGAATGCCTTTATCGGTTTGATTAGGACAAAACATCTACCTTCTATTTAATGCCTTAATCTGTTTGATTAGGACAAAACATCTACCTTCTATTGAATGCCTTTTGATCTCTACCTTCTATTTAATGAGGACAAAACATCTACCTTCTATTGAATGCCTTAATCTGTTTGATTAGGACAAAACATCTACCTTCTATTGAATGCCTTAATCTGTTTGATTAGGACAAAACATCTACCTTCTATTGAATGCCTTAATCTGTTTGATTAGGACAAAACATCTACCTTCTATTGAATGCCTTAATCTGTTTGATTAGGACAAAACATCTACCTTCTATTTAATGCCTTAATCGGTTTGATTAGGACAAAACATCTACCTTCTATTGAATGCCTTAATCTGTTTGATCAGGACAAAACATCTACCTTCTATTGAATGCCTTCATCTGTTTGATCAGGACGTGGTGGAGAATGCAGAAGGTGCGTGATCACTTGCACCAGTTTAAGGACAAAACATCTACGATGGTTCTGGGATGATGATTCAGGTGCACCGACTGGCACCTGGCATGGTACAACAGGTACAGTCTCGATGCTCGATGGTACAGCAGGTACAGTCTCGATGCTCGGAGTGTCGAGGTCAAGGGGAGATAATCAACCCCAAGCTGCGGTGTAAGACGTGTATTGGTAACAAGGTGGTCAAGGAGAGGAAGATACTGGAAGTCCATGTAGACAAAGGCAAGTACAGATCATGCTGGAGATTTACAGCGGGCTACAATGTTCAGCTGTTCCTGTCATGATTGTTTTGAGTAGTTCATGAACAAACTATGTACCAGGGATTGGGAAAGGCAGGGGCCATGGGCCATTTGCACATTAGAATAAAAAATTGCCCATTAAAATTTTGAATTTTACTTTTGATAGAAATGCAGTGACCCATTCTAAATTTAGAAAATGGCTGATAATCCTGAAAATGGCCCATTGTCAAAGTTTTCTTTCCCTGTCCCTGTATGTACCAAAGTTAACCTCAACAACATATCCCAAAGTTAATTTCAGCACCATGTAATGACATTAACATCAACACCATGTAATGATGTTAACATCAACACCATGCAATGACATTAACATCAACACCATGCAATGACGTTAACATCAACACCATGCAATGACATTGACATTAATGACATTAACATCAACACCATGTAATGACATTAACATCAACACCATGTAATGACGTTAACATCAACACCATGCAATGACGTTAACATCAACACCATGTAATGACGTTAACATCAACACCATGCAATGACGTTAACATCAACATGCAATGACGTTAATGCAATGACGTTAACATCAACACCATGTAATGACGTTAACATCAACACCATGTAATGACGTTAACATCAACACCATGCAATGACGTTAACATCAACACCATGTAATGACGTTAACATCAACACCATGCAATGATCGTTAACATCAACACCATGTAATGACGTTAACATCAACACCATTGACGTTAACATCAACACCATGTAATGACGTTAACATCAACACCATGCCGTTAACATCAACACCATGCAATGACGTTAACATCAACACCATGCAATGACGTTAACATCAACACCATGCAATGACGTTAACATCAACACCATGCAATGACATTAACATCAACACCATGTAATGACGTTAACATCAACACCATGCAATGACATCAACACCATAAATGACATTAACATCAACACCATGTAATGACGTTAACATCAACACCATGTAATGACGTTAACATCAACACCATGTAATGACGCCTTAACATCAACACCATGTAATGACGTTAACATCAACACCATGTAATGACATTAACATCAACACCATGTAATGACGTTAACATCAACACCATGTAATGACGTTAACATCAACACCATGTAATGACGTTAACATCAACACCATGTAATGACGTTAACATCAACACCATGTAATGGCGTTAACATCAACACCATGCAATGGCGTTAACATCAACACCATGTAATGACGTTAACATCAACACCATGCAATGACATTAACATCAACACCATGTAATGACGTTAACATCAACACCATGCAATGACATTGACATTAACATCAACACCATGTAATGACGTTAACATCAACACCATGCAATGACGTTAACATCAACACCATGTAATGACGTTAACATCAACACCATGCAATGACATTAACATCAACACCATGCAATGGCATAATGACGTTAACATCAACACCATGTAATGACGTTAACATCAACACCATGTAATGACGTTAACATCAACACCATGCAATGACATTAACATCAACACCATGCAATGACATTAACATCAACACCATGTAATGACGTTAACATCAACACCATGTAATGACGTTAACATCAACATGCATTGACGACGTTAACATCAACACCATGCAATGACGTTAACATCAACACCATGCAATGACGTTAACATCAACACCATGTAATGACGTTAACATCAACACCATGTAATGACGTTAACATCAACACTACACTACTGTACACAGTGTTGATGTTGCTAAGTGTGTTGTAGCCAATGTCAACACTGTTGTATTATGCCTACGATACTGTGACTGGAACCTTCCCGGGTGTCATGTAGTAAACGTCCCTTATGTGCTATGCAGGTATGAAGGACCAGCAGCAGATTCGATTCACAGCAGAAGGGGACCAGGAACCGGGGCTGGAACCTGGGGACATCATCATCGTCCTGGACCAGAAACCGCACAGCACCTTCCAACGCCATGGCAACGACCTCATCATGAAGATGAATGTAGAGCTTGTAGACGCCTTGTGTGGGTTTGTCCGCCCCATTGAAACACTGGACCAGAGAGTACTCAAAATCACAAGTCATCCGGGTGAGGCATCCATACAACTCGGTGCGGTGGGGTAGCCTAGAGGTAAATGCGTTCGGTCGTCATGGCGAAGACCCGGATTGGATTTCCCACATAGATATATGTGACCGAGTGAGGTTTTTGTACCTATGTGGGAAATTGAACCCAGGTATCTGGCGTGACAATCCAAGGCTTTTCCCCCACCACCAATTGGTTAAGGCAATTGCTAGTGATGACAAATATGCTGGTGTACCCCCATGAATACCATGTGTAAACTCATTTGGGGCCCTGGTTCCATACAGACTATAGTTGTCGTGGACTAAATTGTTTTATTCTTCATATATAGTTCAGTTTGTGCATCCAGTGGTTAGAATAGGTCCACTCTGCCATCTTGACGTGACTAAATCAGAATTTTCTTTCTCAAAGGAAAGTGTTAATTATATATTCTTCTTTTTTCTCTTTCCAGGTGAAGTAGTGAAGCACGAAGATGTAAAGTGTGTTCTCAATGAAGGAATGCCAATCTACCGCGACCCATTCTCTAAGGGACGGCTTGTTATTCAGATGACCGTTAACTTCCCAAAAAGCAACTTTGCAACCGAAAAACAACTCAGGGTGATCAGGAACATTTTGCCAAAACCTGAAGAAGTGATTGTATCTGATGATGCAGAGGAATGTGATCTTGTGACCTTTGACCCCAATGCCTCCAAGAATTCGAGACACGGACAGGCTTATGATGAGGATGATTATCACCCAGGTCAACAGCGTGTACAGTGCGCTTCTCAGTAACCATGGTGATTCTGAGCATCGACAGACGAACAAGTGAACTTTTTCAGGACAAAATTTTATCGTGGATGTGACATGTATTGAAATAGATGTAACATTTTTGTCTCATGTTTTGGGCCTAGTTCTGTATCGTAGTCTTTACATATGACTCTGAGTGAAAGTGATGGAGAAAAGCCTTCAAGTTGGTTTCTATCAATGTTTTGAGGACAAGTATTTTTTTATTGTGTGTTGCTAGTCTGCACGGGGAGGGGTTCTACACTTGGGTAGCCTAGTGGTTAAAGTGTTAAAGATTCCCCACATGGGTACAATGTGTGAAGCCCAGTTCTGGTCTCCTGCTGTGATATTGAGATGTTTTTCACATGGTTAGATCTTCCCCACATGGAAGAATTTATGTCAGAAAATGTTCTTCAAACTATGTGATTTATCTATTGAGAAGTGGATATCATTTTCTTTTAAAATAATTCCAAAAAGTTGTAAAATAAATATTATTGTTCTCTATATAAATTCTCAGCATTGTTGAATAACAAAACCCATACTATACTTCAAAACTTGTCCATGTTTGCTTACTATGCCATGTTGTTTAGGACAGAATATATCTCAGAACACAATGTAACCTAAAGTTGATTATTTTCCCTTCTTCATGTATATTATCCGTGCGTGTAAATATTGATTTATAAAAGCATTGTACTACAGGCCTGTGGCCTTTCAGTACCGGAAATAAATATAACTGATATTGCTGGAACATTGCTAAAACTGGTGTAAAACCTAACTCTGCACAGGGAATAGGTAGGAACTGAATAAAACACCATCTGTTTTTGGTTCAGAATGCAACTAACATGTTTTTCTGTAGCTCGAGTGCAGTGGTTGCAGTATCTAAATGACAGGAAAATGGATGGCTGTTTTTAAAAAGACGGGAGAAAAATGCTGAAAGCACAATTAATTCCTGTATTTGGATGTCCTTATGATAAAATCATAAACGATATGTTTCCATTAAAGTTTGTTCACTTATTTCAAGGGTTGTTAATATGTACATGTATTCAACAGGGTGAAACACTGATATAAAAATTGTTCAATTGTAGACACTTATTTATGTCTGATGGGATCGGGTCGTCAGGCTCGCTGGCTTGGTTGACATGTCATCGGTTCCCAATATCTGAATAATTTGGTGTTGTTGGTATATATACTCATAGAAACAAATAAGGGAACACATGAAAGTAAGAGTGTTCCAGAATTTCACTCACAGTGCAATACATAAAGGAAGAATAAAGGAAGCTGTTTGTTTGGGATATTTATTTTGTTACCTTTGCAAAATTCTCTAAACTGCTAATTGTCAAGACTATTTCAAGACTACAGGAATTGGCTCATCACTTATTTATTGATATCATCATCATTCCTTGTCACTTTGCTAATGTGGATTTTGTAGTTACGTTAATACTGGAGCAGTGTTGTAAACATTCATCTAAGTCAAGGGGTCCTTAGGTGGTCTAAGATCAAACTCTTGAGAGCCAGGACTACCTCAAGTTATTGCACTGTTCATGAGCTGATGATAACATGTAGTGAGAGTTACCTCCCTTGCATTAAGAGTCCATTGTTTACATACGCACCTTCACCCTGTACAGTATTTGAGAATCTTTGTTCCAAGGTGAGTCCTTGTTAATCTGAAAATCATTCCCATTAACATTTTTCAGGAACACTGAGTAACTCAACTTAAAAAAAATTACTCAAAAATTTGTTTAACAGAGTTTTACTACATTACAGCCAAAGGGAACTCTTCATGGTGAATGGGAGATGCATTGCCATGAGCTTTGCATTGAAGGATTCACTGATACGCAATTAACATATTTTTATTAATTTTAATGTCACTCAAAATGTGCCATTAAATAATAATATGTGGAAATGTTTTTATCAATTCCTTTTAGTAGAAATGAGGTAGAATAAAGATCTGTTTTTGCCCATCGGAAAAGTCACAGTAAAGCAAACATCAAGAAAATCTTCATAACACAAGACGAAATTTGTGTAATATATTTGTTCTTAGGTTATAGACATCTCAACTGGAAAAGTGATTAAACTTGTTCCAGTATACTAGATGTTCTGGAAAAAACCCTAAAAAATAGAATTCTTGATACATTATAGCCTAACTTATTGATAGTGTGTTTTTAATTTTTTTAAAATGTAGGTGTTGAAATGAATGTCTTGTTTATTTCACATTTTGGAGTTATTTTCAAACAGTTGAATAAATTTGACAATTTGTAAAGATGTTTGCTTGTTTCTTAGAAAACGTAGACCCTGTGGTCCAAGACTGGTTGAAGTATTCATTGTCATTTCTGTAATAAAACATATATGAGAGGTGGACCTATTACAGATTGTGTTGTATCTGTAGGGTACTTGTTGGACTGTATTTCATGTTGTGGTCTTATGCATAGAGCCCAGGTGACAAATCAATTGAAGTTAAGCAGCGTTGGGCATAGAGAGTCCTTGGATGGGTGACTGTGTTTGGCAGCTTGACTCCTGAGAGTTTGTAGGACTTCAGTCCTGCCCCACAACGAAGCACATGTGATACATGTGATCTCACTTCGGGCAAATGAGTTTGTTCAAAATTGCCTCTGTTCACACAGCAGTGAATGGGTACCTGGTAGGATGAGTCCTATGACTACCATCACTTCACAGACAGCTTGTGTTAACAGTGTAAAAATGCCCACTATGTTGTATGCCATATTTAAGTGGCCCTATTTAGTGGTGTTCCGATGATCGAAAAAATTAAAAAAATTGATCGAAAGAAGGATTAAAAATGATTATCGATTGTAAAAAAAATAATTTTGATTACTATTAATGGGAATTTTGTTGTTTTTGTATAACACCCTTGAATTAAGTATACTACAGCGTAAAGCTATGCGCATTGTAAAATTTTAACCACTTTTATTGTTTAATTGAAATTCCAGTGTCTTACTTGCATGCGTGAATTTCAATGCATGACAGTATTAGTTATGAAAAAAACATTAATTAGAAAAAATCTGGGGTAAAACACTTAAAATTGGTGATTACATTAAACATGTATATATTTCGATTAAAATCGATAAGGTTTTTCCGATTCCCAACACTAGCCTTATTGTTGTTTACTTGTGCTGCCTGCTCCTGGCCTGGGAGGTGAAACCCAGTTAGTAATTGGTTTATTCAATAAAGGGGCCACAGACCCATTATACAGTTACATAAGTCATATCATGAAAGTGGAAATCTGGAGCGCCATTACACTGTACAAGGTCAGTAAACATACACTTAATGGGTTGTACAAGTTTTAAGGTAATTGTTACGTTGTTTGAATGCAAGGAACAAAAACTTCGCTAAACGATTTAAAATACCTGAATCGTGTGATGTGCAAAGTAATACAAGTTTATCATAAGAAGAATGAGTACAATAGAACTGAGACAAAATTGTATGTCTGAGATTATAGTAAAAAGGGCATTCCAAACACATGTGATATTCTGTCTCAATTACAGGTATAAAACAAAATGGCAATAATCTAGAATTTCTTGTCAGACCAGATTTTCTTCTAGACTCTATCATTAACTGATGGCTTGAACAACCAAGTATACACTGAGCCTTACGAGCTAAAATATTTGGAACTCCTCTTGGAAGATGCAATATTTCCTTTAAGAATTTATCATGTACATTAGGAATATCTTGAGAAGGTTGAAACCCCCAAATTTCCGTAGCATACATCAATATACTAGTAGGTAATATCTTAACATCGAAAAGTTTTAATAGCAAATCTAATTAATTAGTAAACATATGGATTCCACTTTTTAAAGAAAACAAAGCTTTCAAAACATACTGTGATAAAATATTTTGGGTTACAAACCAGCTTCCAGAGGATGACAAATGAATACCAATATATTTATAAGTGGGTACAATGTCAAGAGGTAAACCATCTAAACTGAAACGTTCATATTTTCGAAGTCGCCCGGCCTTCCTGAACACAATTATCTTACTTTTGTCAGTGTTTATTTTAAGTTTCCATCTATTACAATATAAAAGTAGTTTATCTAGACGTTTCTGTAACCCATTGACAGTCATATCGAATAGAGCGATATCATCCGCTAAATGCAAAATAAACAACCCTATGACACCTAAATTGACACATCGCTGACCATATGAACCCATGACAATATCGTTAATAAAAAATGAAAACAGAAAGGGAGATTACTGGCAGCCCTGGCGAACACCTGATGAATACTCAAAGAATGGAGTACATTGTATACCCATCATTAATAGAAATACAAGCTTTGACATCTTCATACATATTCTTTAAAATCCTAAATATTCTACCTTTAACGTTCCTTGTCCAAAGTTTGAACAAGAGACTATCTCGACACACCGAGTCGAATGCTGACTTTAAGTCTATAAATGCACAGTAAAAACGGGATTTGTGTAATAAAAGACATTTTTCAATCAGGACATTTATAATATATATGTTATCACTTATACGAAAACCCTTCCGAAATCCAGCTTGTTCAGGTGATAGGAACTCCGATGCCCAATCAGTTAACCTTCTACACAATATTTTGGAAAAAATCTTACCAGAAACCTCTAATAGAGATATAGGTCTGTACTTAGTAGGATCCGCTTTAGTGAACTAGCATAATTACTCCCAAGCCCATTCTTTCGGGTAAAAACCAGTAGACAGGATCAAATTAAATAAAGTACACAATAAATGAAGACAATTTTGTGGAGCATTCTTGAAAAATTCAATCGGCATTCCAGAATATCCTGGGGATTTGCCGCACTGCATATCATTCATTGATTGCATAACATATTTCCTGTAGAGTAATATCACTGTCTAAGTTATTGTATACATCAATAGTTTCATGTATCAAACGATCAGTTAATGTCTTTACAAAGTTCTCTACATAATCGTAACATTCCTTCTCGTCAGGTGTTTGATATGTACTACATAACAAAGTTTTATAAAAGAGTTGTGCATACTGGAGTGTCAATTTTAGTGGTCAAACGTGGGCGTTTGTTTCTTACAATATTCCCAAAATTTCGCATGTTCTTGTTTAAGATGGCACTCGATAGTTTATGGCTAAATGCATCAAAAGATAACTGTTTATAACACTTTCAGGCAACAACGTAATTTTGTTTATTCCCATCAAAGTGGTGATGACATTTTCGATTGTGGGAACTGTTATGCCATAGCATGTGAACGTTAGCGCCCATGTAACATAGACAAACTAGTAGTATCCCATCTGTAGTGATAGTAGTTGTAGCACTAGTAGTATCCCA